ACTGACTCACGCACACCACACAACCCTACTGCTGCCCTAATCCACACAAACAGGACTGCCCTATACGAACTGACTCACGCACACCACACAACCCTACTGCTTCCCTAATCCACACAAACAGGACTGCCCTATACGAACTGACTCACGCACACCACACAACCCTACTGCTTCCCTAATCCACACAAACAGGACTGCCCTATACGAACTGACTCACGCACACCACACAACTCTACTGCTTTCCTAATCCACAAAAACTAGACTGCCCTATACGAACTGACACACACACACCACACAACCCTACTGCTTCCCTAATCCACACAAACAGGACTGCCCTATACGAACTGACACACACACACACACACAATTAGGGAAGCAGTAGGGTTGTGTGGTTTTAGGAACGCCGTAGAGTTGTGTGGTGTGCGTGAGTCAGTTCGTATAGGGCAGTCCTGTTTGTGTGGATTAGGGAAGCAGTAGGGTTGTGTGGTGTGCGTGAGTCAGTTCGTATAGGGCAGTCCTGTTTGTGTGGCACACAAATTAGACTGCCCTATACGAACTGACACACACACACACACACCACACAACTCTACGGCGTTCCTAAAACACACAAACTAGACTGCTCTATACGACCCGTATTATCGACACATGACTCTTTCAACTACCATCCAGATACATAGTCTGAGCTCTCACTTTATCCATAACATCTGCAGATTCCTTTTTAACGATGTCTTCAAGTTAAGAAACACATTAGACCAATTAACCCTAAAGCCTCAATGGTTCAGTTTGTCGTGAAGATTTTTACTGAAGATCCCGCCCACAAAGCTTGTAATACTGCACATACCAAACATCGAAATCACCATCGAAAACGAAAACAATTGACCTTTCTTGACCTCAACATTGTTAGATCTGACACACAGTTCAAAACCAAAATCCACCGTAAGAACAATCGCACTTGCCTCTAAATACCCTGGAATTCTGCTCAAGAAACCAAACGAAAAATATATACACTAACAACTTATAAGCACAGTTTCAAGACTACGCTCAACGGGCAACATAAAACAACCTTCTAAAACATTCGTTCATTCACACCAAAAAAAAATCCCATTAGTTTTAGTAAAAAAAAATCTTACACGACCACTAAAACGAACACTGAAAAATGCATTAGTAAAACACTTCGTTTATTCTGATTATTGTATAGTTTAGAAGGAACGAAAAAAACAAGCAACAGTCACGCACAGGTTTCAATCAGTGGACTGGTTTCTGATATCTAGGCCTAAGCAAATAACACGCAAAACCAATGGACTCTTAGTATAGAACAAGAAGTAATGTTAATGTCACGTGCCTCTAATCTAGTATCCGTATATTATCTTGGAATATCAAAGTTATGAATAGAGAATATATTAAACAGCAACAAAAATAAGTAAAAAAGGAAAATAAACCATGAATAAGAAGTTTCTGCTTTAACCGGCACACTAGTAGGGGCTGCTAACCGCCTACTTGTGAAATCTCTAATGGACTATTAATAACGCTTGTAGTATAACTAGGTAGGTCAACTGTAAATGTAAGAATGGCTAATGTCTCGTCCTTCCTCTTCACTCTGCTTCTTATCTTTGATTTCTTATTCCAAACTTATTCAATAAAGCAGTTACCCATGCCGTCTGGAAGGTTGCTTAATAAAGCTGTTAATATTGTTAAAGCTAATTCTGTTAAATGAGCAGCGAGATGAGCAACATCTTGTACACTATTCTAACAATTCACTTTTGAAATGATTTAGAATGGTTCTGGTTTGGTCCTCAGCATACTTTTCATAGTCTGATGTTTTTTGAGCCGAACTGTTAATATCTGCAATTTAACGAGGTAATGATATAGATATTTAATGAGGTAATGATATAGATATCTAATGTGGTAATAATATAGATATTTAACGAGGTGATGATACAGATATTTAATGAGGTAATGATATACATATTTAACGAGGTAATGATATAGATATCTAATGTGGTAATAATATAGATATTTAATGAGATAATAATATAGATATTTAATTAGGTAATGATATAGATATTTAACGAGGTAATGATACCGATATCTAATGTGGTAATAATATAGATATTTAATGAGGTAATGATATACATATTAATGAGGTAATGATATAGATATCTAATGTGGTAATAATATAGATATTTAATGAGATAATAATATAGATATTTAATTAGGTAATGATATAGATATTTAACGAGGTAATGATATAGATATCTAATGTGGTAATAATATAGATATTTAATGAGATAATAATATAGATATTTAATTAGGTAATGATATAGATATTTAACGAGGTAATGATATAGATATTTCAGGAAAGTTCTGCAGTCATAGATAAATCAGCAACAGTAGAAGTAACAGTTGTGGACCAGATTGTGGCTTCTCTTATTCTTGTGTTTGATAATTCAGTTTCTAGGTGTTTTATTCTGATTTCAACGTTTTTTTGCACTTCATTTGTCTTTTGCATTCGTACTTCTTATTTATTTTGTTGACGCCTTTGTAGTTCTTTGATCTTGTTGTTATAATCTTTCTGTACTTCATTGATATCCCTTTGTACTTCTTCAGTTTTGTTCTCATCTTTCAATACATTTCCTAAGGC